AATGGAAAAAGGTGGTAATAGTGCCGCCTTTTTTTCATTTGGTTTCTTCAAGATTATCCTGAGACAGCTGCATATTTTTTCAGAAGGTTAAATCCAATATTACTTAATTTTATATATGATAAAATATCTGGAAACTATTTGGATTATGTATGTAATAATAATTGTTATATTTTTATCCCTATAAAAAATAAGTGTCCGGATAATGTCCAGAAAATGTCCAGAAAAATTATCTAAAATATTGTCTGGAAATTCTGGACACTGTGTATCCGGAAACTGTTCCGAAAACACTGCATTTTCGGGATATTAGGAAATTGTCCAGAAATTGTCCGGAAATGTATTTTCGTAAAATTTGCCACAAAAGAAGATCAATGGATAGATGATCATCATTATTCCTTAACCCAAAATTTTTATATCATAGATATATAGTATTTTTGCCTGCTCTGCAATTTTAATTAGTACGACAGAAAAGGTTTTGAATGTCAGTTTTGTGCTTTTTGCATTTTTTTACAAAATTAATTTATCCTTTTTTGGAAATAGTATCCAGAATTTGTCCTGGACTTTTTTATGTCCGGAATTTGTCTATCTGGTTTTTTTACTATGTCCAGAATTTGTCCAGGTTTAACTGTCCAGAATTTGTCCAAAATTTTATACCGAACAAATACTGGACGAATTCTGGACAAAGTTAGGACATGTCAAAATTTTAAGTATCAGAAGTGTGTCAGACATGTACCAAAAAAGTGGACATTTTTCGGACACATCAGATTTATTCCGGACATTTTCCAGACATTTTTGATAACATTTTCCGGACATTTATTTTTTATAGGGTATTTTAATGAAAATATTTTGAAAGAAAATTAAAATACACCATATTTGCTTTTATAGGCAGCTGATCTCTTACTTCCTGGCTGGATTTTTCCCAAGGACTGGATGAAAGGTATAACTAAAAAAGTTTTGATTTACGTTTATACTAAATTTATTACTCCCCATATTTTTTCTTCTAAGTTACCAACCATTCTTAGAAAGCGTAGATTAACACCTGAGGATATGGTTTAATTGTATCCTTTTATTTGGTAGGGCGGAATTGTCCTGTTTCTGTTAATCATTTCTTTTATTTTATATTATTTTATTTATTTTATTTTATTTGCCTAGTATTCGTTTGATTCCTGGCTTACGATTGGGACAGCTTCCAGGAAATGTAATATTATGTAATTATTAAAGAATGTATTACTTGCTTATTATTGTATTTCATCGGAGGATTGGGGTTGAACACTTCAAATTTTGAATTTTGGAAGTGACAGAGTTTGGCAAGTGTAGAGGTCATACTCAATAAGTTTATGTTTGAAATAAAAAGTTTTAGTATAGTTAAAAGTGATGTATGAATAATTAAAGATAAAATTATTAACCTTTTACGGTATAGGAAGTGTTTTTTTTTGGTCTATACAGCAGTACAGTACGTGATGAGGTTTACAATATTGTTTTATGTGGGCAAGGTACATTTGTTCTGTAATTTGATAATTAAAAACATTTCACATTATTTAAAAAACAGTTTTATGGCAAATCCAGAGTAATTTATAATTAATTTATATTTTAAGTTTATTAATTATTATTTTGGTTTTTTTATACTTGAAAAGATTCAAATATTCATATACATCAAATTTCTATAATAGAAACATATTGTTAAATTAAAGATAATTTATATGATAAAAACTATTAATAGATAATTGGGAGATTTAGGAGCTATAAATAATAAATCATCAAAGAGGAGTTAATCTTATATCACTTCAGAAGTATATAAAAGGTTTAAGTTTGTTAATAAGGGTAATTTGAAAGTTTTAAGAACAAAAATTATTCGAGTTCATATATTTTAATAAATAGACGTTTAAAAATATTGATTTTTTTTTATTGAAGTTTTGTTTTCGTTCTTTTCCTTTTAAGGTTAATTATCACTTTGAAATTAATACTTAGTCTGGAGAACCGCTGAGACAATACGATTGATTCTGTCATTACGCGATCCAGTCGCCATGTACAGTACTTTAAATTATTTTTAGACAAAGAAAGTATTAAAGTCCAAGAAAAAAACGCAAGTTATCACTTAACTTTGAGTAATATGCCGAATAATTCGAAATCGGTAAACAAACGTCAATATCACGAGATTGAAGTTCGATAATTTTAGGTTGATTTTGAAAAATTGTTTACTTCTGTCAAAATTTAATTATTTCATTAATTAAACTTGTTTAAAATTTAATTTAATTAAATAATAAGAAATAACTAATATAGGTTAATTAATCTTGTTGCATTATTTAAACTCCAATAAATAAAAAAATCATCTAATAATCTAATAATTATTATCAAGCATCTAATCATGATATTTATTGATAACTTTCTTATTTTATTAATTTTTTTTTTTTTTATCATTGTATGATTAAAATAATGAAAAGGCAAAATTATTAATTTATCTTCTATTTTTATTTCTAAATCATAATAACACGCCCATTTTCGAAAAATTTTCAATTATCGTTTGGTTTTGTGACATACTGCTATTAAAGATGTTTGATACTCTAATTATAATCATGGTGACGTGTTTATGAGTATTAACATTAACCATATTAATCTCAAGTACACTTATGTAATGACATCATGACTAAATTGGTAGAATCGAGATACTTTATATACCCTAGCTCTCATTAGAATATATTTACAATAGATGATGAACTAAACATTAACGAGTGGTGCATCTTGAAACAACAGTCCTCATATAAAGCGCTCCTTAAATTTAATTCCATACATACCAAGACTGTTAATGTAGTTATAGATAATAGATATTCTCCTTGGAAAATCATTACTTATGATTATACTTTACCGGAGGCAAGAAATAATCAGAAAATTTGGAGAATATGACAACCTTGACTTTAAAGAGTCCAAGAATGTTGCCTTTTAATAAAAGTTTTGGTAATAATGGATAATTTATAAAGGTATGGTTATGACTTGTGAAATTTAGTTTATCCTGTTTCATTTCTTGTTATATTAATTTACTGCAACTCAAAAATAAAAAATTTGAAGGAGCATAACTTAGAGTTTATCAATAATAATATTTGGTACCTTTTCTTATATAGGATTATGAAATTTTTCACAGTCCAATATATATAACATTAAAATATTTCTACATTGTTTAATTAGCACAAGGGAAGATACAGTATTTAGATATTATAGAGATACGGATACGTTATCAGTATATTTTGCAAAGGCATCTTCCGGCGTCGTCAAATATTCTGAAGAAACTAATGACAACATCCTTGTTTCCTACGACGGTGATGACAAGATAGTACCTGTTGAAATTTATGAAGCATCGGGGTTGTTATGTTGCCACTTATTTGAAACTTCAGAAACGATTGATATATAATAAACCACCACTCTCTTTTTATCCTATTTATTATGAAGATCGCGATGAAGTGGAGGTTCTCCTTGTCGGTTCTAAGCCTTCACCCATCACGTTCGAGAAAACTGAAGATAAAGATTTTAAAGTGGGAATGAATGATGAAAACAAAATCGTATCTTTGTTGTTTCACAATGCAAGTGACAGATTGGAGAAAAAGTTACCGGAGGAGGAGAGAAAAAGACTTGCGGAAGAAGCGAGGATGATGTCATTGGAGGTTGAAAATATTTTTACATCCTAATTTTGCGACCAAATATGCAACTTTTATAATCATATTTTTTTTTATAAATTTCTTTTAAAATGTAATGCTTTATTTCTTATCAAACTTGAAATCAATTTATTTAATATAAATCAATTAATAAAATAATATTTTCTAATTGTGCATTACAAATATGTAACTTTTATATTGCAATTTTTTATTGTATATAAAATTTCTTTTAAATGTATATTTACCAAATTCGTTAACTTAAAACAATGCAGGTAAATTAACGTTAAGAGAATTTTTCTAAAAAGGACAAAAGTAATGCATATTCACGACGTATTGGCAATTCTCACCATATTCATTACGCGCCCATCGAAGAGAAAAGACTCTACAAGATGTCTATTTCCTGTTGGTTATTAGTCAGATCAAACCTAGGTCCAGCACGCAACACATCAACAAACTTTGAAACTAAACTTTTTTTGTATTCCGTTAAATATTGCATCCATGGAAATAATTATGTAGGATCCATTCTTTCGTATCGATGGAAACTTAGTGGATTATGGAAAATGTCATCAAGTTTTAAAAAAAACTTCGGAAAAAATTCGGATTAACCAATCCCGCGATAGATTGAATAATTTTTTTTACTTCGGAGAAAACCAGCAAATGATTTTTTTTTTATTCTAAATATTCAAATATAATAAAGTAATAAACAAGTCCTTTTTCTATGATATATGTACGTGAAAATCTCGAATAAAGATGCAAAATGTGGATCCAAAAAAAGGAACAAAGGATAACAAAGGAATCGATTTTATGTATTAACTTTTTTTACTTATTTAATATTGTTAGATATGAAGCGCGAAAATATATTGGTGTAATCTATGCGTTACTATATGGGGAACAGAAGAGCGGCGGTCGCAGCATAAATAAAGTCAACTTTAAGAACTTTAGAGATAAATTTTGTAGTTATTTCTTATTTACGTAAAAAAAATTCTAAAAAGATATTGGTTACTATACAATTTTTAACATTATCACACAACATTATAAAAAAATTGTACACTTTATTTTGTGAAAAAATTAAATTTTGCTCGTTATATACAACTTTCGGATTATTAATTGTTATATCGAACCAATAACATCCTATATATCATGATTTTTTTCAATTATCTAAATTTAATAAATTGAATAATTGATTCTTTGTTATATTCAGGTTTACATTTATTCAAACTTTTATCTTTATTAAAACTTAGCCTATAATGACTAAATTGTATGATATCAATCATGAACTATGACAAAGTATGTTATTTCTTAAAAAGAAAAAAATATATTAATTGACTATATATACAGTATATGTATATTTATCTTACATGAGGGGTGAGTGATTTGAACACACAACCTTCCGTTTTGGAGACGGACACGCTACTAATTGCGCCAACCCCCCATTATCAAACCTATATCAAAAATAATATTTAAATAAAGTTAAATATCTTTGTCTACTAATTATTTAAATATTTAAGAAAGATTTTATGATATTGGATTAGTTTTTGTAGCACTCAGGAGAATTATTCTTTTCTTTTGTATTAGAGGAAATTTTAAAGAAAATTGCAAGGTATCATAATTAAAATCGATTATATGATAATATTTATATTATGATCATATTTTCTATACTTCTTTACATTTTTTTTCTTTCCTAAACTTTTCTTTCCTAAATTTCTTTGCAAATCTTTGTCATTACCAAAATAAAAAATGTGATACAATTAAATAAATACGATTACTGTATGTGTAAAATATTTTGATGATATTCTTCCCTATAAAAAATAAGTGTCCGGATAATGTCCGGAAAATGTCCAGAAAAATTATCTAAATATTGTCCGGAAATTCTGGACACTGTGTATCCGGAAACTGTTCCGAAAACACTGCATTTTCGGGATATTAGGAATTTGTCCAGAAATTGTCCGGAAATGTATTTTCGTAAAATTTGCCACAAAAGATGATCAATGGATAGATGATCATCATTATTCCTTAACCCAAAATTTTTATATCATAGATATATAGTATTTTTGCCTGCTCTGCAATTTTAATTAGTACGACAGAAAAGATTTTGAATGTCATTTTTGTGATTTTTGCATTTTTTTACAAAATTAATTTATCCTTTTTTGGAAATAGTATCCAGAATTTGTCCTGAACTTTTTTATGTCCGGAATTTGTCTATCTGGTTTTTTTACTATGTCCAGAATTTGTCCAGGTTTAACTGTCCAGAATTTGTCCAAAATTTTATACCGAACAAATACTGGACGAATTCTGGACAAAGTTAGGACATGTCAAAATTTTAAGTATCAGAAGTGTGTCAGACATGTACCAAAAAAGTGGACATTTTCCGGACACATCAGATTTATTCCGGACATTTTCCAGACATTTTTGATAACATTTTCTGGACATTTATTTTTTATAGGGCTTCGAAAAATTCATCCTTATTGAAGGATAATTTATAAGATTCATTGATGAATATTCCTGTTATATTACTTTCTTTTAAATTTATGGATTACTGCATATTTATTATTATAATAATAAACAACCAAATTTTTAGGAATAGAAAAAAGTTGCGTAAAGATTCACTGAAAATATATACTGAATTTTTAAAAAATATTTCATTAATTCTAATTTTTTCATCTGTTTTAAGTTATAAATTATTTTTAATTGAATATAATAATTATGTTAGTAACTTCAGATATTAAAATCGAATTTCACTATGATTTAATTTTGTGTGACTATAAACAAATATTCAATTCAAGCAATTATTTTTCCGATGATGTCTGAGCACCTTTGAGTGCCCTTTCATCTTCCCCTTTAGAGCCTAATTGTTTATATGAAAATTAAATGCACAAATGAATTTAATCATAATCTGCTTTGTATACCCCAGAAAATTTTTGCTAGTTTTCTCTTTAAAATATGAATCACCACTTAACATTATCAAGCCCATATTTTCTACCTTCTGTATTACCCTCAGAAATTTTGAAATAGAAATTATCTATTAGATTGTAAGCCCAGAAATGCAATTTCATAACTACATTCAAAATTAGCGCAGAATTAAAATATTTATATAATACACTACAATAAAAAATATCTCTTATCATATATTGTCTAACGTAACCAGTAATTCGACTTTTTACTTTTTTTTTGTTAACTGAAAATTTGTTTTTGAAATTGATATATTGGTACTTTGGTCATTTTCATTGTATATCGGATTAGCATCATGTTCAGTTTCGTACATGTTATCATCTTAATCATAATGAATTGGATCAATATCATATTCAGTATCACATTAGTTTCGTATACATTATTGTTTGTAAAACAATTATCTTTAAAGACAACTTATTCCATGTGACAGTACATTTACAGATGTATAATATAGATACAGTCTCTCCTTGATAGTGTTCCAAAAGGGTTGAGTCATGTCGGATTTGAGGATGTATTCAAACTTGACCCAAGTATAATAACAAACCTGTACAAATACCTGGGTTAACATTTGCACGACCTGACCTCTGACCCGACCCAATACAGTTTAACCCCAAATAACCCGGGTCCAAATAAATTTTCAGATCAAATAAATTTTATTATATACTTTGAATGGAAGTGCTGTTACAAATTTATCTAATGTACTTTGAGTTTCTATCATTGAATTCCTGCTTTTTTTGGATTTTTATCTGGATAATTACACTCTAAATAATGCCAAAGATTCGTTGCTTATGTTTTATTCCTAAAATTTTAATAAATATAATGTTAACAGAGAAGCTTTCTTATTTTTTTTTATAAAAATCCTTATAAATAATTAAGCAAATATTTTTTTTTTTTTCCTAAAAAAAAATACTTACAGACAGTTCAAGACATTTATTTATTGCACCATATTTTAATTTAATTATGTTAAGGTTTTATTTAGTAAATAAAATTTTTTTTTGAAAAAAAAAAAAATTTGGTTAATTAATTAATCTAATATAAAAAAAAAACTAAAATATTTTTCTGTGGAGGACTGTCTCTGATACCATTAATTAGTAATTCAGGTTTAATTCAATTGTTGTATTTTTTTTTTATCCACAAATGTATCTTAATGAAAAATAATTATTTAAACCGACCATGCAATAATATGTTCCACTGCGGGTTTAACCCAATTGTTGTAGGTTTTTTTTTAGCTGCAAATGTATTTTAATCAAAATAATTATAGAAATTTTTTTTTTCCAATTTTTTTTTGTTTTTAAATAATAAAATAAACCCTTATCCGTAAAAAAAAATTGATTACTAGCATAAAGCTATAAGCTAAAAGCTATGAGCGAAAATTTTGATATGCAGTGCAATAAAGATTAAAAAATCAGACTATCTACAAAAAGTTCAAGCAACTGGCACAAGCTTTTTGGCATTCTTTTCTTAATGTTAATAATTTGATAAATAAATTAGGGACAAAAGAACAATAATTTATATAAATGATGATTAGTCTTAAGTGATGTATTATTTTGAATTTTTATGTTAATTGTTTATATATGCAATTTATAATGTTTATTTCAAAGTTAAATAACAAAAAATTTTTGTATAGCTTGATAGTATAAAGTACAAGTGTGTATTTTAACGGAAAAAATACAATCCGATTAGCAAGATAAAATTCTGCTTATTTAACACTTCATAAAATCTTGTATTTATATAAAATTAACATATAACTTATTTACAAACTTTATATTGGTTAATAAGTATAATAAAATTTCATTATATAGGTTTACCTAAAGACTTCTCGACTGACATTGTCTTCAAATTTTGTCAATAAGGATCTTTATAATTTTCAAGTGGATTAGTTCCGGTTAAAAGAATATAAGGAGGAGGAAGAGGTAATTCACGAATGAGAAAACGTGACCAGAATAAGAATTACTCGAATTCGAATTTTTTTTGAGATATCCATTTTGGAATACCTCGGGACTCTGGTGAAACTGCCAAGAATCGGTAAGAGATTTTCGTTGGTGAATCTTAAATCCTAAAAGAGTTTATGTAAAAGGTGCAATGTATTAATTAGGATAAGCGCAACATTTATATGATTACTAATGTTACATAAAAGTATTAATTAGGATAAGCGCAGTATTTATTTGATTACTAATTATTAAATTGGTTACATAAATTTCTATTTAGAGCTTCAATAACGCCTAATCTATCACACAGAGTCACAGGTATTGTGTGACCATGATTAATTCATAAATCACAATTACGTAGCTTGTAACAGATAATTTTACCAAAACCCTCACCAAATGAGTAACGTTACGAAAGAAATTGAAATCGATAAAAATGAACTATATGGACAAATACAGCATAAATTGCATAATGGATCTATTAATAAGATAGAAGTATCATCAAATGGAAAATATCTCGTTACTTATTGTGAATCTGATCGTTCAATTATTGGTTGGAATGTTGAAGATATAAATGAGGGAAAACTTGAATCAGATATTATTATTAAAATAAATTATAATCTTTTCGAAGATAACGTAAAACAAATATGCGTTTCAGATGATAAGAAACTTGCGTATATTTGTGGAAAAAGATTAGGTAAGTTGTTAATTAAGTGGCCATGCACTGTATTTAATTTACCAAAATAACCGTTTGATTTTTTATATTTATTAGAAATAATCAATATTTATAATAATAAAGAAATTAAATTGAATTTAAAATCCGATGCTCGTTATTGCGCTTTTAATTCAAAAGGTGAATTTATCTTATATGGTATCGTTCATAATCGCGTTAGTATCTGGATCTTTTCTACACAAACTAAAAATGACGAATGGATATGTAAAAGAAATTATGAGATACGCAATGACTCTCAATTGATCAATATATCAAAAGACAATAAATTTTATTTTGCTGCAAATAATTTCATTTACGAATATAATATTCTTACTGGAAAAAATATAAGAATATTTTGTAATTATGAGAATAATGAGGTATTAAAACATATTTAAAATTTGTTTGTTCAAAAGTATATTCTTGTTATTAATTATTATGCATTTACAGAATAACGAACTCGTGGACAAAATTTCAAGTAATGAAAGTTTTACTTGTCTGAAGACCAAGGATAAAATTATTATTTATTCAATTGAATTAGAAATACCTGTTGCTACTTTAGATATAAATAATGGTAATTTTTTTTTTTTCTAAAAAAAATTATATTATGATATTGTTAATATTCATTATATTGTATAATTTTTTCTATTATTTAGATACTCAATTGTATAATTTTATAAAACAAACTGGTTCAAGCAATTTATTACTTCCATTATTAAGTAATAGTGAAATATGGAATTCCATCATGAAACATTATTGGAGAAAATGTTTGGATCGGTTAGAACAGAATAATGAATTGTCAAATGAATATCAAACTGAAAATTTACCAGATCTTCCATATAACATTC